GTCTCAAACCGGTTTGATGCACAATTTATGTAAACACAAATCTCCAAGGCAGTCCTTTATAGTTATTGGGATAGCAATAGATTGAAATCATTTCAATGTATACTATAGGACAGTAAACCAAGAAATAATCGTTTAAACTGGAGGAGATAGAAAAAATGAATGAATAAATAAATTTAACTGTAAAATAACAACAAGTTACATTATTTTGTTATCTCGGCTATGGTAGGTTATTGGTTATTTCACCATACTTATTTGATTATTAAAATGTAGAACGATATTTCATATGGTGTTTAGAGTTGTACCTAGATCTAGTCCTAGTAATGTGTCTGCTCAAAGGCACAGGTAGTGCACAACTAACTCGTGCGCACGAGTTTAATAAAGCCGTGCGGCACGAAGTTAATAAAGCTGTGGTTAGTTTTATGAAGAATATCGTCGGTAGCCATGGGAGTGTGTGTGTGTGTGTGTGTGGTGTGGTGCGTGCGTGTGTGTGTGTGGTGTGTGTTGGTGATTGTGTGTGTGGGGGGGATGTGTGTGTGTGTGTTGTGTGTGTGTTTGTGTGGTGGTGTGTGTTGTGTGTGTGGTGTGTGTGTGTTGGTGTGGTGTGTGTGTGTGTGTGGTGTGTGTGTGTTGTGTGTGTGTGTGTTGGTGTGTCGGCGTGCGTGCGGTGTGTGTGTGTGTGTGTGGTGGTGTGGGTGTGGTGTGTGGGGTGTGTGTGTGTGCTGTGTGTGTGTGGTTGTGGCAGTTTGTTTATGATAGTATTCGTTCGTTCCGTGGCACTCCCGGCAGGACTATAGCACATCGAGATTAAGATTGGAACAAAATTTCTTTCACTGGGAATACACATATACTAGGGAGAACCAGATTGTGTAAATTACTGTTCGTGGTCATTTGAAAACAAATGCCGGTGGTGTCGGACACACACAAACACACCGAACACGCACACAGAGCGGAGCTGAGCACACACACACACACACACACACACACACACACACACACACACACACACACACACACACACACACACACACACACACACACACACACACACACACACATCATGCGTCCCGGTGACAGGACATCTCCTTCATAAAACGAGGGGGAATACTCTGGTAGTTCGATGTGTGTAGAGGTGTGTGTGGTTAAACGTAGCAGCCTCGATCTCTATTCAGCTGTTCTAATGAAGGGAAACGCAGTGAAGTAAACAGTAAAAGGCACAGCTATTTGCAGCTGGTGCTGCTCTTCTCAGATTCTGCTGAGTTACACGTTACTGCCTCCAGTGCCCTGTATGACGGAGCCAGTTCAACATACCCTAGATATGTTTGATTTACCCGGCTTAACTAACCCTAACAAATGCGATGTCGCTAAGCGGTCCTACGAAGCCGGTTATCAACTCAGTAAATCAACCAGGGTTTCTCTGACCGGCTGAGAGTGCGTTCACGTGAAAGGGACGGGGTTAGCAACATTTGACCAATCACAAACATGGAGACGCGTGCTGACAGCGCAGCGTCATACTTCATGAATGAATAGTGTAAATAGCAAATCCTGCTTCGTAGTACAGGCCACTGGTGCCGCAGAGATTTCATAAAGTGAAGGAGGTTTTCCTTCTATAAAACAGCTGTGGGCAGCAGATAATGTGAGTCACGGACAGGAATCCCTCAATTTAAATAAAACGAGGCCAAGCTTTATTAACTCGTGCGCACGCTTTATTAACTCGTGTGAACGAGAAAGTAAAACGTGGCCACGTTTTATTTATTTTTCTCTTTATGAACCCTCCAGGGCTCCGTACATTACACCTCACAAAAACAAAACCTTTTTAGTCTAATTACAGGTTTCATTTTGACAAAAGGCAATTTATAATAAATGACTAAAGCACCATTCGATGAATTGCATCATCATGTGACAGATCATTACTCAAAAAGCTGCACACTGGAGTTGCAGACAAAATTGGAATTACACATTTAGGCAGAAAATGAAGCAAAATATGAAGACAAAGAAAAAACATGTACATTTCTAAAAGTATTTCTGAAATGAAAGCAAAATGCTAAATCCAGCAAGAGTGTATAAAGATATAAAGTCTAATATATTTTAGAATTACCATGAAAACAAACAAATGATAGAGTTTGGAGAATGAACAGCAATATGTACTATCTTTATGGAGAATGCAGTTAAAGGAAAACAAATCATTAATAATGACTTCACAGTAATGTGTGTGTGTATGGGTGGAGCAGAAGGTCACGTACATGTGCGGTGATGCCCTCTCCTCCCTCAGGGATTTTGGGGAAGGCATCATAGATGGAGGAGACGTAGGTGATGACCGACTTCTCATCTGGAGATGGAACATCAACGTCTGAAGGAAAGAGAAAGATGCAACATTTGAGTAAGACTGAAAAACACACTTTTCTTCAAATGTCTTGTTTTTTCAGTTTATTATCCAATGATATTGATTTTAAGAGAATATCAATCGGGAAATATCCGCAATTGAGAGGCATTATTTTCTGAACTGTTTTCATGACAAGTAACTTAATTAGCTTGGATCTGTCACGCCCTTGTTGCAGTTCTAAATAAAAGCGTACCAGAGAAAGTTACTAAAATGTAAGTACTCTTAACTGGTGAACCTAAGAAAAGCCCCCTCCGCCCCCCCTGGCTGGCAGACAGTCAGTCGCTCAGTTTATTCTGTAGCTGTCTCACCCTCAGCGTCCAGCAGACTGGTCACCCCGAGCGACTCTGCAATCTCGAAGGCCTGCTCCAGGTTCTCCCGGTTACTCTGCCGCGACACCACCTCCATGTCGATCAGGTCTGGCCTGCAGAACAAACATAGAGGGGGGGTGTTAATGTACCTCAACTGTGTATCTGTCTGCCTGCCTCTAATCTATTGTATCTGTTCAGCAGCCTGTAACACATAGAAAGTATTTATGGCTGCCTGTGTGAATGCTTCCAGTGCCTGCAGAAAGTATTGAACACCTTAGAATTTGTATTCATTTTGGGGATTTAAAAGCCTGAATACACTTGATACATGCTGGCTGTTCATCCTCTCACCTGTATCTGTGCAGCAGAGCGTTGAACATGCGTCCATCGCTCCAGGAGGAGGAGAAGTTGGTGCAGCGGAGGCCGGGGTAGCCTTCTGTCGCCTGCTTGCTCCATAGTAACAGCTTCTCTTTGGCTGTGAGGTCGGCCGACTCGCCGCTCACATAGATCTCTGAAATCTGGAGGAACAAGAGACAGAGCAGGGGTTCATTCTCGGATTCATTGTATTCTTAAAGTACAAATATGATCGGAAATGCAAAATGCATAAGAAATGAAATTGGTTATTCTCTGTTGAGTTGTGTTACCAGATGCACTGAAACAAAATGAGGCAAAAACTGCACCCAAAGATTTAGAAGGAATAATGATATCCTCACATATAAAGATGATTGCACACCTCTCTTTGGATCAGCAAAAGTATGCTTTTTATTTACTCAAAAACGGTAGTCATAGCAATATACAGCAGACAAAGTCAGCATGTTAAGCCACAATGAGTCGGCAGAAATTACAACACGACAAGAACTGAAATGGCTTTATGAGGCACAGACTGACTGGAAATATTTTTAGATTTAAAAAAAATCCTCCTTTGGAGCCCCAGGCATGCTTATCTGGATCATCCATGTGCTTTTATATTATCGTAGCATTTTTTCGCCAATCTCCTTAATCCATAATTCAGTCTACCCAGCTCATTAGCTTGTGTACCCCCCCCTCCCAACACTTCGCGCGCCCCCCCCCAACCTCGATCTGTCTCTTAGGGTTTTCCTGCTCTTTCATCAGTTCTGCGTCAGACTCCGATCAATCTGCTCAGCCCTCTCATCCTCCGCCTCTTCACATGCCCCCCTCCCTTTTGTTTTTCACTGGTGTTGTACAGAATACCAGAGGCTGGGTTAGATATGTAGGGGCCATATGTCAAATGTGTTATTGGGATGCCTTCTAGCCCTGTTTTATTTTAGCATTATCCATAGGAGTCTTATAGGTCTTCATTCTTAGGACTTATTAAAATATGTTAGAAAGGTCTAAATCTATCTAAAAAAAATTCCTTAAACCCATTTTAAACTGCTTAAATGATTGAAACGTGTAGTCTATGATGGTTAAAAAGAACATATGCCGTGCCTTTTGGTGGATGCTGTTATTCACAGATCCTGAGAGCAACTCAAGACATAAAGTGCATGTTTACTGAAGGTCTGAAGAGTAACCATGCCTCCATGGAAACTGACTGACGGCTACTTTATCTACGTGTTCTGCCCACTGAGCTATCGCCATTTTCCCTATGCATCCTTCTTCCTCACAATTAGCTCTCTTTAGGTCCGAATGTCCACAGTGACAAAGGCAGAGTGATGTCTATGCACTAACTCTCAGCCATTATTGTCCTCAGTATTCCCTCTCTCCGTCTCCCTGTCTCTCTCCATGCTACTAATATAGAGCAATATGAAAGTCAAGTGTGTGCCAGGAGACTGCAGCAACAGCCAAAAAAGACGAGAGGGAGAGGGAGGGGGAGGGGGGTGGGGGGGGGAGAGGAGATGAAAAATAGAGGGGGTGACTTGCAACTGTAGGGAGCTAATCATTTAGCAAAATAAAAATACATGAAACTCCCAATATATGAAAGAACAAGGACACAGAAGGTTAACCTGTAACATAAAGGTCTAGCAACATGTTGTCACGGTACTAGCATGCTAACAGACAGCCCAGACATTATGCTGTACATACATCCGTCCACTCAATGTGCCAGTAACAGGTTAGCATTTCCATCATTGTCAAACTGAGCACAAGACAAGCAAATAAAGAGAGGAGAATTAGGTTTGTGACTTGAATGGTAATAGACATCATGTATATTCTGCTCTGTGTTTTCCTGCAGAGTTCCATCTCTCTGTATGCATCTACAAGCTCCTTTGCAGGGACCTAGAGAACATCTAATCCTCCATCTGAATATTGATACAGCACTCTGTGAGGGCTGCATCTGCACTCCCACTGCAAGAGTGTCTCATCCACCTCTTACTGTGGTGCATTTCTGCTGTATATACTGTATCTAAAAAGGACTTGTTAAGGCGGTTTGAAGGTTACAAAGTACACAACTTTGGTCAACTCCATTTGATAAAAAAAGGCCATAAGACGTAGTCAAAAGCGCCTGAAAAAAGCAAGTCAAATTGAGTTTAGAATATTTTATCACATGTTCAATCACAACCCAATCACAATCAATCTCTGTGTGCTTCAGTAAGAGTTTCTAAATGTACAGGTTTGTCATTACCACAGAAAAGACACTGTTAGCTCAAACTACTATGCATTTCATAGCATGTCTATTAGCTGCTTTAGCAACAGATAACTGGGTATTCAGCTAGCAAACAGAAAAAACAACAACTGTAGAATGTACTGAACAAACTACTCTGAATCTCTTAAAACTTGCCGTAATAAGCAACTGTATGGTACTATACTGTGTGATCAAATAAACGCAACCTAATTTACTTACTGTGTTAATTCAGAAATGAATGAAACACGTGTTTTGCAAACATCAAATTCTGTGAAGGCAAACAAAGCAATACTGTATGTGTGAACATGATTCATACTCATTTCCTCCACTTATAGGTAACAATAAATATAGGGTACACACACAGAAGAGCAGGGAACGTGTCACATGACATGCTGCAGTTAGAGTGACCCTCAGTCAGGCTTCAAGGACTGTGTGTCCAAATGTACTGTATACTATAAATGTGAAGTGTTAACGGTGTACAAGTTGCTGTACACAGAAACACATTCAAGTGGCAGCAGGGTGGAGTGAAGCCATGATATAGTCAACAGGTCTGGTAACTGGCAAAAAAAGGTTTATAAGAGGTCAAATATACATTCTCATTATTTAGAAACACCAAATGTGGGTGGGAAGCAGGTATAAGCAAACATTTAAGGGCATAATCATCCACGAGGATACTTTTTTGTGAGAGTCTAACGACACTGATGGCGCAGAATGTGCATTAAGTGTCGGCAATGAATTCAGCCCGATAAAGAGCTTGATTTGTGATTTAAGAATCCATATAAAACCAGGATAAAAATGTAAGCCATTTAAAGTAACCTTTGTGTTTAATCACTGGTCGACTTGCTAGATTTAATCGGAAAAAGTACGGTCTGGATTAGGCTCTCATATAATTGTTGGTGATGGGTCTGATCCTTTTCTAAGCTTTGCAAGTGCAGATTTGAAAAACTGTTCCTGGGGACGACTCTCAACATCCAATATCCACCAGCAGCCCCCCCCTATGGCTCAGAAATAGCTCTATTTTAGAAGCATATGATGTCTTTGAAGTTTGGGAGCAGAGGTGGAGATAACAACAGGGAGGGGGGATGGAGGGGGGACAGGAAGAGAAACTAAAAGAAGAAACATGATGTTTTTTTTTGTAAACAGAAATTGAAGCTGTAAAACCCTGGGTTTCGATCATTAAGCAAAAGGGATAGATTTGGGGATGAAAGATAGTTCAACAGATGATGGACAGATAGCTGTATAGCTTCAGACAAAGCAGGGCGGGTATATGGATACATTTAGTGGTAGGAATCCCCTCGGGGCTTGACGAAAAAGCCGCCTCGCTGATGAATGCGCATTTCAAATCCCTTTTATGCAGAGAGGGGCATCACAGGCACCCACATACACAGGACAGCTGCATTTTAAACCGATCACAGAGGTATCCTGCCACATCCACACAACTCCTGTCATGACGAAGGAACACACAACACAGGAGTATTGATTATTGCTGCTGAGTGAAAAACCCTTTTAAGCAAGGACCTGTGAGGATCTACTGTATCAGTGTTTGTGTGTTTCCTATGACTCAGCAACTGTGCAGCAAACGAGACATGTAGCACTAAACACAACATGACGTCAGCTGTCTTACTGCACAGCCACACTGTTCCGCCTCTATGATGAGGAGAAGTGAGCAAACTGTGGCAGCCGTCATGAAAATCGCCCGTCATCTGCTGTATCACTGCAGTGGCTGCAGCAGTGTTTTCATTCTCAAGGTGAAAGAGAGCTAAAAAGCTGCTAGCTAGCACGCAAACTCTCCTTCTCTCCTTGTCTTCCTGCAAGAGCCTCGAATATAAAGACATACTGTACTAAGAAGCACTGGGCTACACTTATAAGCTGAGGTCCAATCATATTTCAATACATATCAACAGGACACAAGTAACTTGGTACAGAGCCACGATGCACTGTACTATAGCAGTTTGTTGACAATACTAAAAGATAGATTTCTCTTTGAGGTGTAATAAAGTAATGTCCATGAATGTAGTCAGTCACTTTAAGTACTTCAGTTACTTCCTTCACTACTGTTTGGTGATACCTACCAAAATGTGTCTGTGCTACTGTTTATCAAATACCAAATCCTCCAAAAAAGGATGTTATGTTTTAGGTTTGGTTTGTTTGTAAAAAAGGTTTTATGGCAAATTGTGGTCGGGATTTATACAATTTGGTAGCATAGACTAAGTAAGACATTCAATTTTGGAGCGGATCGATCAATCAATCAATCAATCAATCAATCAATCAATCAATCAATGTTTATTTATATAGCCCAATATCACAAATGTTACATTTGTCTCAGTGGACTTCACAGTTTGTAAAGAATATCAGTATGACAATACGACACCCTCTGTCCTTAGACCCTCACATCGTACAAGGAAAAACTTCCAGAGAAAACCCACAGTTTAAAGGGAAAAATGGGAGAAACCTCAGGGAGAGCAACAGAGGAGGGATCCCTCTCCCAGGACGGGATCCGAATGGTTGGGCGGATAAACCCATTATTTTTCAACTAGCCTTGCAGCCTTTGCAGAGGTCTGTACTCTCCAAAAGTCCTTCCATTTTACTGAATTTTAAACGGGAGTCCCTGATTAAAATGGAAAAAAGTTTTGGTTGTTCGGTTTATGACAAAAAAGGTTTGTGTAGAAAAAAACTCGAAAGACTAGAAAGTAAATTACTACTAGAATACAATAGGACAGCAGAAAGCTTACACATCTTCCGGCGCAGACTGAAAACTCATCTCTTTCGACTCCACTTCGAGCGATAGAACTATTAACTAAGCACTTATATACTAACAAAGGACTGGCTTATCTATAGCCAGTTGAGTAGCACTTGAAATGTTTTAGCTCTATGAAACCTGATGTACTTATATGATTCTGTTTTCTTCAAGGTTGTATTTTGTTGGTCGAACGCACT